GGATGGAGGGAAATCGGCGGAGGCTTGCTGGACTTAGTTCGGGAATTGAGAGGGAGATGAGGTGGGAACTCAGCGGCTGCTTGGGATCGAGAGGTAAGAGAGATGTCGGGAGATCGTCGGCGGGACTGGGCCGAATGGCTTCGGAGATCGGAAGATGGGATCGTGGCTTTCTCATGGGATTCACGAACGAGAGAAGAGCTGCGAAGGGGTTCCTCTCGGTTGGCTTTTAAAGGCGTCAAAAACCAGTGATCGAGGCCATCGTTGCGGGATTTGCGGGGAAGCGACGCGAACGGCGTCGAATCGGCGGGATTTCAGCATGGTTTTGAGGATCCGACGGGTTAGAGGTTTGTCTGCGGGATTTTTCATCTTTGTTTTTTTTTTCTTCTGGATTTCATACAAAGGTCAACAGGAACTGGAGGGAATTCAAAAACTGCATAATAGAACATTTCCAAACCGACCGGGGAGGAAATTTCTATGAGCAGTTCTTTGCTCTGGTGCAGGAGGGATCAGTAGCAGACTACCGTGAGCAGTTTGAGCACCTGGGTAGTAGGGTGGAGCGATTATCAGATATCGTATTGTAGGGAAACTTCATGAAGGGGTTGAAGGCAGAGATCCGAGCGGCAGTGAAAGTTATGATGCCTAGTGACTTAGAGGAGGCAATGAAGATGGTACAGCTGGTAGAAAATCAGAATAATCTGAAGAAGGGAGCCAGGAGCAGCAGCACAGGAGGCTCTTATAAGACTACGACCACTCTTTTAGCACCCAAGGGGCCTGCATCAGTCAACATTAATGAGACCACCAAGGAGAAGTCAGTAGGAGGAGGGAGTGGGGATAACTTCAAAAAGCTCACTAATACAGAATTACAGGAGAAGAGGGCAAAGGGCTTTGTTTCAGATGTGACAAGAGGTATACACCAGGGCACAGGTGTAAGGACCGAACTCTTCAAGTTCTTACTGTTTGTGATGAAGAAGGAATGGAGGGTGTCGTCTTTCCACCATGCGGACAAGGTGGATCTTCGGAAGAGGAGTATTGTTAGACCGGTCCAGCCGGTCCGTGCGGGACCGGCCCAGCGCGAACTGGGAGGAGAAATCTCCGCCCGCTGGGATGCTGAGCGAGCGGCACACCGTGCGGGAGCTTTTTAGGAAGTTTTTTTTAGGGTTTAGAGAAGGAAATTTGAATGTAGGGACTATTTAGGGAATTCCTTTTGATTTGTATGCATTAAATAGTTTGATTTCCTAGTGTTTGGGCATCTTGAATTTGGCTGAAATTTGAGATCTCTTCTATTTATGTTTTCTTTGGGCTCTAGCGGCGTCTAGAGATTTGGGAGAGATCGATCCTCCTCTCGAATTGAGGATCAAGTGTATCTTGCTATTTTCCATGTTCCTTTCATCAAATCATACAAGTTATCTACTGTTTTTGTGGTTTTTGGGCGGACTTTTGTGAAGATTTTCGCTGTTTTCCAAAGATTGATAGAAAATACTTGAGAACTACAAGTGTTTCCTATCAAACACTCTACTAGTTGTCAAGTTAGACTTGGAACCAAAGAACCAACTAGATTCAAGTCTCATGATAGGCTCGAAAAGGTCTAGTAAAGAACCCGTACATATCATAAGGTGCACAAAGTAGAAAGAAAGCAAAGATACATTGAACAAGCTATTAGTTGAGTTAAATAAGAATATGGTAATATTTAAAAAAAAAGTTGAACAAAGTGATCTTACACCATGTCAGAATGTTTGGTTAAATTAGGCAACATCAAAAACAGGACTATTCAAGCAATCTTTATAGTCTAGAATGCACTCAAAGAAAATATGGAGTACAAGGCCATCTTTATGACATGGGACGGCGAACTTCGTAAAAATTGGATTGAGTATATTGTGAGCTGTCACACACATTTCTTGGATCCCCAACATGACAAGTTGTCTAAACCAATGATCATAAGCAATGGACTTACTCCAGTACTGTGTTGAGTGGCTTTCACCATGCTTGTATTGGCAAAGACCCTGGAAGTTGTATTTTCTAGTCTATCTATAAGAGGTTGGAAGGAAATATTGCCCGTTGGCACTACCAAATGCTGTCAAATAAATCATAGTGGGCCGCCTTATTTTTTGTTAGTTATTATGTTTTATCAATATTTGTTAGTTGTTGTGTTTCATAAGTTGATATATTTCATGACATCACCCACTATTTAAGAACTTCATTTATTTTGTTTAATCTCATACAGCTATGATGAATTATTAATGTGGGGATCATCTTGATGTATTTTGTGATGTGGTTGAGTTGCAATTATAAATAAATGAGGTAATTGCTGAATTAAATCCCCACGTTTTAAAAGACAGTAGCTCCTTTGAGGAGGAACTGCAGCTAAGAAGATCTATGTTTGATAGAGCATACACGGGTCATCAATATGTGGAGGATGTGTTGGCTAGTCATTTGAGACGAGCTTAGCAATGTTTCAGGTTACCAACTGAGGCTTTTATGTGTCTGAGGAACCTATTAGTCAGTCGTGGCCTATTAAATAATATAGAAAATATGCATAGCTACATGTAATATGTGAGTTCTTCCAGCATTCATTAAAATGTGTGAACAGGTACTTAAATCAGGTACTGCATACTATTGTGTCATTGCTAAGTAAGTTTATTAATTTATTGCTACCAGATACAGAGTGTCATCCTTTTATACATGCAAATATATAATTTTATCCTTAATTCAAAAAAACAATTAGTAAAATTGATGATACCCATGTTCCTGCAGTAGTCAATAGTAATTTACAAAATCAATATCGTAATCAGAAGATGTTTACATCTTAAAATGTAATGATTGTAATGCCATTCAACCGACAGTTTGTATATATTGCCTCAGGGTGAGAGGGTGTTGCAGACATGCGTGTGGTTAGATGGGAAGTGAAGCAAGGAAAATTTAGAGTACCTCACACAACTATTATTTAGCTGACTCTGGTAATGATAATATTGATAAAATCATTGTACCATTTCGAAAATATTGATATCACTTGAGTGATTATTGTGAAACTATATTTAGAAGTTATATAATTGAGCAAGAGTTATTAAATCACTAACAAACACAGTTATGCATGTAGTTGGAAGAACTTTTGGGATTTAGAAAAAATGATTTCTAGCAATGTCTCACATGTGATAACTTCCTCTTAGTGTTCAAGCTGACATAGTACTCGTATGTGCAATTTTGCACAACTTCATAGATTGTTATCATAAAAACAATCTCTATTTTCAATATATTGCAATCAAAAATACAATTTGATACTCACTACGGTGAGGTTGAAATCTCTGATGAAGATTCTATACTACACATAAAAATAGGGGAAAGAATTCAAGGGGAAGCGATAAGGAATGTCATTGTCATAGATTTCTGAAAGGCTCAAATATGAATTTTAATTACACTAAAAAACTTCAATTTAAACATGAAATTTTATTAATTTTATGATTTTTTTATTTATGATGTCGAGTGAAAGACACCGCTCATCAAGATTGAACTGCTCTGCACTTAAAAATATCATATCAAAATCAATATACAAGTAGGTTGAGTATTTTGTTATACACTATGTCCATTCTTAAAATTTCTACTATATACGCTTTATTGGTTTTACAATTTCTGCTGTGTGAACTTAAATTAGATTAATTCTATTTTATAAACTTATATTAAATTTATAATTTGGTTAGTGATGTAATTCAGAAAAATCATTTAAAAGTTTTTAAATTTTTGCATATGCATTAAGAATATATTCATATTTAAATTTTTAATCACCATAAATCATGAATGTGTAGCCAAATAATTTTTCAAGATTTAATACCTTAGGATTTAGTAAATCCAAATTTACAGAATTTAGAAAATTCGAATTTACAGGATTTAATAAATCATAATTTATAGGATTTATTAATCTTATATGAGTTAAATCTTGCTTATTGCCAACAACCCCTAAATATGAATATATTCATAATGCATAACAAGAGTTGAAAAAAAATTAAATGATATATCTGAATTTTATTATTAATAAAATTTTAAATTCAACATAAGTTTATATAACAGAATAAATTGAAATTAAGTTCATATGATAGAAATTATAAAATCAATAAAGAGTACATAGTAAAAATTAGTAGATAACAAAACACTCAATATGCTTGTATATTGACGGTGATATGAAATCTTCAAGTGTAGAACAATTCAGTCTTTATGAGTGATGTCTTTGACTCGACAACTAAAATAAAAAAATCATAAAATTAATTAAATTTCATGTTTGAATTAAATTTTTACTGTAATCAAATTTCTTACCTGAGCATTCCACTAATCCATGGCGATGGCATATCTTATCGCTTCCCCTTGAATTCTTTCTGCTATTTTTGTGAGATGTTATGAGGAAGACATTTCAATCTCACAATACACAGTACTGAGTATCATGTTGTATTTCTGTTTGCGATATATTGAAATAGAGATTGTGCTTATGATATCGATTTATAAAGTTTAGTAAAATTGCACATACAAGCACAATATCTGTTTGAGCACTAAGAAAAAACTATCGCATGTGAGATAACAATTAAAATTCTTTACAAATCTCAAAAGTTATCTCAATTACATTGCGCAACTATGCATGTCCGTGATTAAATAACTCTTGCTCAACTATAAATCTTCTAGATAAAGTTCCACGAGAATCACTCAAGTGATATTGATATCTTCGAAATGGTGCAATCATTTTATCAATATTAGTATAACCAAAGTCAATTAAATAATATTTGCTCAACTATGCATGTTTGGCAGGATTTAGCATTAATCCTACTTAAAACCCTCTATCAAAAATCCCCATAGAATTACATCCTAGAAGCAATTAAACAAACCTCAATAGTTCATCTACAATAACTGAATAACAACGTCCAATCATTCAATAATTTCCAACCAAAACTATAATCTACACATCTTATTCTATGAGTAAGCAGGAAACATAGGATGAAATTAGAGAGATTTCGGTGACTCACCTTCGCCGATTTCGGCGCCCAGCTTCCCGCGCCTTCCTTTTCTTCTCCTCCTGAAGATTCTCAAAGAACCTTCGCCGCTTGCATTCCGGGATGATGCCAGCTTTGCTGACTTCCCGCCGAAATCGCCGGAGCAGCACCTCCTCAGGCTCGTTCTCCTCAACTAATATCTGGACGTTGTAGCACGAGGTAAAGAACAAAACGTTCGCGTGTCTCAGAGCAGGGTTCACCACCGCAGCTAAGGGATCGATCGGACGGCCGGTTGCCGGTCGTAGGGGTCCCGAGGTATGCGGTCCGGCGGAGTAAGTGGTAAAGTAGCGTCGAGATGGGATGGGGTAGTTGAAAGGGCGAGCAGAGTGTGAAGAAGAGAAGCTAGGATGCATTGTGAAGGGTAATCGAAGGAGATTACATGAAATCGCCATTTGAGACACTCAGAAGAGGAGAAGAGGAGAAGAGGAGATGAGGGAGGGCAACGAGACGCTTATCCGTTTGAGAAAATGCTTTTACTTAAAGAGCTCTAGTGAATAGAAAGTACACAAAATTTTGAAAGAACAAATACAGGAAGAATTACCTACTTAATATTTAAATTATCTTATTTTTTATAACATACAAAATTTTATGGTTATTTACATTGCAGTTAAATTTTTATATAGCAAAAAAAGTATCATCTTCCTCACCCTTTCTATTAACTAGGAGTAGTCATAATTAATTCCTCTTGTCTTTCACTCTACTTTCTCAAATGAAACTTCGACACTATTTCTTAACATATCATTACAACTACCTCATGTGCCTCATTTTTTCATTATCACTCTGACTTCTACTTTACATTTAGTATGACACCTATATCTTGTAATATTATCACATCAAAAACATCTTTTTAATTGGATGTGGATTTTGAACAACTTAAAAAAAAAAACTTAAAGCATGAGTTTGATTTTGAAGTTTTTATATAATTTCAAAACCAGCTATCCAATTTGAATTTGATGGATGGATTTGGTAATTGTAGTTTTCATGTTAATCGTATAGAATTCAAATCTATGCATGAGCATGCCCATATCCTACTACTATGTGTGATTCTTTTAATATTAATTTGAAATCATCTTTTAAGATTATTAATCTCTTTGACTCTTTTCTTTTCTTTTTTTTATAGTAAACCCACTTGTATACTTTATTAGACTGATGAATTTGCTATTTTTAATATGACTTGAAGATTGAGAAAAAAGTTAGTTCATTCATTATATTCACATTGAGTTTCTTGCTTGTAAACGGTGCAAAAACATGGCACAATGATTAATTAGTAGACAAATTTCATCATATACATGATTTGAACAAGTAAAATATTTTTACCTTTGTAATAAAGAAGATATTATCTTTCACCCACAAAATCTATGTTTAACGATAAGTTTACCAAGGCAATGTTTGGTTGGAAGTGTTAGTAACATAGAGTAAAATTGGTTGGAAGTAAAGCTAATACATAGTATTTTTTTTAGGTATTTGAAATAAATCACTTAGTTTATTTTTAGTGTAATTGGAGTTCATCTTGTTTGCCTGAATTCTAAATATATTACATAAGCAAAATTTTGTTGGAAGCCACCCACTACAGACCACTGCCCACAATCAAGCATCTCCACCCATGATTACCATCTACCAATTACTAGGATGACCTATTATGTCTTTAAGCAGTGAGTTGAAATAACTAAGGAAGAACTAGGCAACTTCCTTCACCTTATGACTCAAGGGGTTAGAGAACACACCATGAACTTTAGAGTGGATTTTGATTGGTTGGAAATAAACTAAACTCTTAGAGGTGTTGCACAAGTAAGCCATATTTCTCGTGTATATACCCTTAACCAAAATGCCAGGATCATCCAACATGTCTTGAGAACTTCTATTATTGCTAAAGGTGGTCATCGTATTAATTTTACTCCTCTTTTGTCTACTATCACATACCTTATAATTACTAATACTCCTATTGATGAAGTCCAACTAATCATTGACTATATTTATAAACTTTTAGATGTTAGAATTCCTCATAATAGGAGGAAGAAAAATGTGTCCTTAGGATACTTAATTGCATATATTTTAGAAAAGAAGTACAACTTAATCCATCCTGATCCTCCCACTCAACTTCTCATTTACTTTACTGATGCCTATTTTTGTGCACTTTTTAATCGGGGTCAATGTTATGAGGGAGAAGAATCTAAGGGAGAAGAAGGAGCGTCTGCTCCAACACTTGGACTCGGCTATAATTTCTATTAAGAAATACTCCGGCATTTTAAAAGACTGGAATTTCATTTTGATCAACATTTTGATAAAATTGAGAATCACCTAAACCAGCAGAATGCGAGGTGCAATGAAGACATAGGGTGGATCTGAGAGAAATTCGACTCGGTCAACACTAATGTAGCTACAATCAATAGATATTTTATGAAGTTCAACCCTTAACCAGCTCTAGACCAAGGCCCCTTAGAATTTTAGTTGTTACTTTTGTGCTGTAGTTGTTATTGAGTTGTTGTACTTGTTGTTGAGAGTTTTCTTATGATTTCATGTGTTTGGCTTCTTTATATTGTGTTTCTTTCTTTTCATGTATATTGTATTAGTTGTATGTATTATAATGTTAATGAAATGATGTTTTAACTTGGATATTTTGACTTGTGTTGAATTCTCTCTTCTTGAATTATTTAAGGTTTTAGAGACAAATTATTTGTAGTTGATCTCTGGAATGGAATTTTGAATTACTTTGCTCTACAAATTAATTTCCTTGCAAAACTTAATCTCTCAAAATTTTAAATTAAATTATGACTGGATATAGATTAGAAGGTCAATTTCATGTTCTTATAGAAAAATATTACTTAGCAATAATTGTTGTAAAATGGTGTCTTAATTTTATTTTATTTCTTTTTCAATGTTTTTATTTTATTAATTATTGGAATTTGTTTTGAGATTAATTGATATTAGAAAAGACCAAAAATGTAAAAAGATGCACAAAGCGTGCCAAACTTGAAAAGATGTGCAATGTCTGCCAAAGTGAAAAGAGGAATAAAATTAGCCCAAACTAAAATGATGTACAAAGTGTGTCACAAATAAATGAAAAGATGAGCAAAGTCGTCAATTGAAAAATTCATATTGTTCTTTCCTTTATCATTCTATCTCTTATACAAATCCATATAATTGGAAATAATAAATAATATTCATTATTTAATTAGAAACTAATTAATCTTTATTTCATCATTTTTATAATAATCATTTTTATTTGATATATCTAGAATGAATAATGAATTGGGTTGACTTTTCTTATCTTAGTGGTTCTTTGATTTAAAGTTTGACTATTTCTTTTTAGCATTAGGACATTAATGTTGTATTTGTAATTAGTTTAAAATCTTCTTCTTCATCATCTATTTTGATATATTTATAGAAACTTATCTTTTCAAGATGTACTTCCCTTTTTTTTGTTGTCAAAAGGGGGAGTCATTAGTTATTATTTAATGTTTTATTTATTTGATGCATTGGTTGTATTGGATGTTGGGTTTGTTGTTTGATGTATGTATGATTATTTGTTGTGTAATTTTTATGATGTGTGTATTGTGTTATTGTATGTTTATTTGTGTTATTTTTGTTTAATGTATGTTTGTTCTGTTGTTTTTGTTTAGGTTTTTTTTTTTTTTTAATTTGTTCTTGTGGTTTTGATTTTCATTGGAACCCCTTGTTTTAAATTGTTCACTCATTGAGGGGGCACTTAAGAGAAAAATTTCCTTAACTGTTAACTCAAATAATAACTATTTTTCCATCATCAAAATGGGGGAGATTGTTGTATCTTAGATTTCAAAACTTAGTTTTTATATCATGTAAGTTTTTGATGATATCAAAATATTATTGTGTTGATTACTATTTCTCCAAATATATATATTGGATATATTTTATTTGTGTTATTTATGTGTATTATCATTTCAGGAAAATCATACTCTAGATTATCGAAGACTTCAAAACAGATTAGATTAGGGTTTCTTATAATTTAAGTCTATACTTTTTCTATTTTTATTGAGTTTGAGATAGTGTGATTGTAATTAGATAACCGTGCATACACATACTAGGAGAGTGAGTCAAAACTTTTATTTTTGAAACTAATCGTACTATATGATTCTTGAATCATACTGGATGATTTTACATGAAAGTTCCTCCAGAACAAAGTTAATCGAATCATGCCTTGGAATTTTTCTTTTGAACTGTTCGTACTATATGAAGTTGGATTTATACAGACGACATCAAGAGTATAAAATGAATACATACCAGTTTGTCCTGAATGAACTCACCATTTTTTGAATTGATCATATTACATGAAGTGGAGTTTGTATAGACGGTGTCCAGAGTACGAAATGGGTGCGTACCAGTTCATCCCATATGAACATGTAAATTTTCTAAACTATTTGTACTTTATAAAGTTAGATTCGTACGACAACATCAAGAGTATGAAATTGGTTTGTCCATATTTGTACTATATGAAGCATGATTTTATTTAACAAGTTTGTATTGTACGATATAGGGTTCGTACAGATGATGACCAGAGTATGAAATATGTTCACACATAATCATATCGGACAAACCTATTCAGTTTTGAACTGTTCATACAGTATAATGTCAGTTCGTAGATACGACTGATAGAGTACAAAATCAGTTCATATAGGATTGTATATGGATTTTTTGAACTATTCATATATATGAAGTATGATCGTACTTACGATCCAAGTATGTTCAACGTGAATTTTTCAATTTTTGGTTGAATTTTCTAGTATTTTCATATATAAGAGTCCTAATAACTGACTAACCTACTTCTTCTATGAATTTTCTCTTGGGAGGGATAGAGAGAGTGTTTTGGGAGGGTGTTTGGGATTGAGGGTTGAGAGAACATTCAAGTGGAAATTGTGAAGGGTTCACAATGTTGCCCAAAGGTGAGGATCTTTTTGTATGTTCTTCAAATCTCTACCCAACTTCTAAAAAATCTCTTGAGAGAAGATCTTTGGAGGATATCTGGAACTCTACTATCTCTAGAAAGGTGAGAAAGGATGTTGGTACTCCACCGTCACTAAGAGGGTGAGAAAGGATGTTGGTACTCTACCATCACTAGGAAGGTGAGAAAGGACATTGATACTTTTCCATCACCAGGAGGGTAAGGAAGGATGTTAGTATTCTACTATCATCAGGAGGGTGAGAATGCATAATGGTACCCAACCACTAGGGTTGGTGGAAGGGAAGTTGTATGGGCTTCTCTGCCTTGATGTGGAAGCAAAAAGAGAGTCACTTTGATATAGTGTAATACTTGAAAAAGGAGTCTTTAGGGAGTGAATTTAGGTCTAGTTTGACCCAACCACTATAAATTTTTTTGTTCTTCTATTCCTTTATTTTTATTGCATTTTTATTTTTTTACATTTACTTATAGTGGTTGAAAATTTACTTTAAGAAAACTTATTGGTTGTGCTAAAAATCATAAATCAGTTTCTAAATTACCAATTCACCCCCC